TGACTCAAGCAATCAATTGCCAACAGCAGCAGCAGCAGCATTTCCAGCAACAACAATGCAGGCCATACTTGAGTGGAAAATCAGGCATCGAGTATCTCAAGAATGACTTAACGGCATGAAAAACTTTTCCAGTAGCTGCGAGGAAAGCCAACAATGAGTGCTGCTAATAGCTGGCAACTTTTGAATTGAGATTGCGATTGCGTGAATGCTTTCAGACGTGTTGCATTTCAGTTCCGGCCGGGCCAACTCGACTCGAGGGTACAATTTCGCGCCGTCGTGCCGCGAATGTGTCAAATGCATCGATGGATATATCAGTAATTTGAATCGCTTGCAAAATTTCCATTCGCATTGCGCAAAAATGGTGCACACAAACAATTATTTTGGAAATTGCCATGGCTGTGTTGTGTTTGGCCATAAATTGTAACAACTGTCGTTTGCATATAAGTACTGGAGTAACGAAACTGTGGATAGAAATGCAAATGCAGGAGAATTGGAACGCACAAACTCCGATTTACGTTATTTTTATTGAGTGCTTGTTTAAAGTTGGCTCATATATCTATTTATATAATTGGCAGCCGTATCTTATTTTGTTCTCCAAGAACCCCCTGAGGCCATACACTCAATTAATTATTCATTAAACATATCCTGTCATGGTTTCCATTAATTTTCAACTCTTTTTTCTAACGTTCGGTGGGTCTATTCCAGTCACAAATCAAACATACCCATCGATCCGTTCCCCCTTTAATTAGACACACAAAATAAATTGAATTACCAGCGTGAGCGTGGCAAGAAGCGAGATACATAATTGCTACCACGGCTACGAGCCACAAAATGTTTAATTTGTTTATTTTTTCGGTGCTTGCGGTACCGCAATTTATTAGCAAGCCGGGGGAAACAAAGAAAAAATTGATTGATCTACCACTGGGCAGGGTTCAATCAAAATGTGTAATGAACAAGCCGGAAAAAATAACACACACAAAAAAGTTAAAAACACACAAAAATTCTCGATGAGCGGAGCGGGAGGGTGTGTATGGTTTTGGTTTGGTTTTCATTACGCGGCAGCGACTGCTGCTCGTAGCGGGTTCTCGTTTTAATGATACAATTTAAAATCAACGCAGACTCATGATTTTGCATATTTCGAGCATTAAACTCGCCTCGTCGACGGCGGCTGCTGCTGCTGTTGTTGTTGTTGTTGTTGTTGTTCTGGGGAGCATAATTCAGGCATGGTTACCGCATTGCCTACTCCCCTTCCCGCTTTCCACTACCAACAATCAATGCCCGACGCCCGCTGTGATTTGACCAAATACTGACGGACTCTAGCCGGCTCTAGCTGCCAAAGCCATCAAATAAATAACCGCGGGACCCGCAGTGAAAGAATGCCGGGGCCAGGCATTGCCCCTAATGTCGATGGGTGTGTCCTGCCAGCCTGCCGCCCTTTTTTTCCTCCTTCTTCCAGCTAAAGCATTAAAGCGGAAAAGCGGAAAAGAAGAGGCAAAATGGGGGAAAAACTGAGGAAGAAGGAGGAACAATGAGGGAAAAACTGCGGGAAAAACAGGAGGAAAAACATTTTGCCTAAATGGCAAGGCATTACTTTTAATTAAAAGCAACGCGAGAGCATTCAACAAAAATTGAACTTGAACTCCGCGACCACATCCAATTCCAGCAACAGCAATAACTACTACAGCTCCAGCTCCAGCTCCAAGTCGGAGCTAAAGTTGAAGCTTAGAGGGAGACTGGGTCCATGGACACATGATTACCCATAAGCTGACATCGCCTCGTTCCACAGTTCGCTGCACAGACTGGCTTTAATCAGTTGGCCACGGCAACGGCTGGCCTGACATTTGATGTTAATTTGCACTGAGCGAGACATTGAGCATACGCAGCGTTGGCCCGTCCGTCAAGCGGCTAATTACCTGCAAACCGAACTTGTTGGCCAAGCCAATTTACAACTTACAAGCCATAAAGCACACACGACATCTCGTAATGTATACATTTTAATCGCGAACGCATTAATTAGCATCATGTAAAACCGCGTTCGTAGGTGTAAATAAAACAGAGCTGCGAAAAGAAATCAAGCCAAGACGATAATAAAATAAACAAGTTTCAGAGTTATTCCAAATGCGTTTTAATAACGCTGGCTGTGGATCGGCCCACGCCCGATTCCAGCAAGTAATTAGCATAAAGCACGTGCGCCGCCAACGGGGCAACGCCTGCCTCATTGGCATGCCGGTGGAGCTGTGAGCAGGGATCCAGGAGCTGGAGGTGGTTGTGCTACCTGTTGGAGCCCACCGAGCTCGAGTCCCTCACAGGTGCGTACCTGTCACGCCCCCCAAAGCGGCTGTGGCCAGGGCAAAGTCTCAGCCAGGTCTGGCCGAACATGGCCCAGAGCTGGCTAAGCCGGGCTCAGCTTGGCAGACATTTGCACAATCCATTTCATTTCGTTCTGCTGCATTTCATTCGGACTTCTCCGCCGCTTGATTTATGTCCAGCGGGCAAGGCACATGAATCACAGCCACAAAAATATCTAGAAAAGAGGAGTATAGTCCTGTTGATATCCTGTAAAAAACAGGAGTTTTATTGAGAGAATTCAATGAAGATCTAATTTAAAACTAAAGTAGCGTAACAGAGAACTCTAGATTTAACTTATTATACATGATCCCCTCTCCCTTACCCTAGAACCCCCTGGATTCTTGCTCTAATTACCCCGTTCTATCGACTAACGTCTCTCTGGCCTAAATCAGCCCAATTATAGGGTAGAGGCCTGCCGTGCCATGCCATGCTGACATTTCTAGTGCAAAAATCTCGACACAAATAGAGTCAGTTGGTGATGGGGCAGCTAGCGGGGCTGTGATCATTGCATTTATTGTCTACCTGCAGATTTATGATCATGCAACGAGCGTGCCGCTTCCCCGGCACCTACAACTAAGCCTTATATACAGTATATCTAGCCTCGATTCCATTGTGGTTGCTACAGCGGTCTTTGCGGTCTGTCCATTTCACGCTTTGCCAAATTGCCAACTTGACCGGCACCAGATGAAAAACCGATAAAGTAATGAAAATGCGGGCAGGCTGGCGTTTTGGGCCAGACTCTGTGTATCTCGGCCAGTGCGCGAACATAAAATGTTATTTAAAGCGAATTTCGGGCACAATTTGTTGTTAATGAATGCACTGTTGACTGGCTGGCTGGCTGGTCTGCTTGCCACAGATTTTTACAGATTTTCACAGATTTTCCGACTTTCAGCGAGCAAATTGCGCCCACAATGAGGTCAGTCAGCCGCACAATGTTCGCCGTTACCTGCAGCAGCCTTACGTGCTGACTTGTGAAAGTAAAGGCCCCAGCTTGCCTGGCTTAGGATCCCTATAGTGCAGTGTATATATATATAGCAAACACCTCCCCCATCAGTGGGGCAACCTGCATACGCCGGCAATTTCGTGTGAGCCCGCAACTAACCTTCACATAAATTATTCCCATCAACAGCTGCAGATACGAGCCAAGTCGGGCGGCATCCCGGCTACAGTGGAGCAGCTTAATGTTTAAGACATCGTGATAAGCGGCAGATATTTATCTGGCTAGCAAATTACATGGGGCAACGCCTAGGAAAAAAGAGACTCTAGAGAGGAAGCAGACATGCAACATGTGGCTGAAATGAGGTGTCGAAACAGTTGTTAGCCGAAGCTCATACGCCCCGTGGTACGTGGGAAAAATGAGAACCAGCGGCGACCTTGAGTAAGAATATTGAAACTTTATATCTATAGCTAACTTTATATTTAAATTCCTTTACAAAATATTCCCTTGAAGTGCCTTACTCTGATTTACAAGTATTTCCTTTGTTGCTATCAATGATGTATGACTTTTGCGAGCCCCCTTCAAAATCTCACTTTAATTGGCTGCCAAGAAATCCATCTACATGTACAAAATATTTGCGTATTTATTGTTGGCAATCCATAAACCAAGCCCATATTCCGTCCATAGGCCCGTGTCTGTACGTGTACTGGCAATCGTTTCGATAACACTTGAATACAAAATGAGGGTCATTAATTTTATAACAAACTATGTTGGCTGGCCTGGCACACTTGAAAAATTCCCAGTTCGAGACCAAGCTGCGGCTCCTACTCCTACTCTGGCTCCATCGCTGGGATCCATCCTCGTTCGGCAACGGCGGCTTATCCGCCTGCCAATGTCGCCTGTCCGACAGTCAGTCAATCATAACCCGTTTCGGCTGCCACAGCCGCTGCCTTGGCGAACAAATCAAAACTTGTTATCGTTTCGAAAAGATCTCTCTAGGACCAATAAAATATACGGCCCCCAAGCCAGGCCAGTGCCAGTGCCAGTGCTAGTCCACCTCTGCCTTCTGTTGGCATAAAAAAGAGTATAAAAAGCGGAGTGGAGCTGCAATTGTCAAGCTTTACGTGTTCGCCCATCAAAATGCTGCACGCCTCATCAGCGGAGTTGGACTCGGAGTTGGAGTTGGAGTATTGGAGATCCCAGAAGCCACGGTGACAGCACTTTAATTGCAGCGACTGTAATGTCACATCCATTTGAACCTGGCTTCGACTAGCATCGGCATCTCTCCTTTTTTTTTGGGTCATGTCAGGCTAATCAAAGACTAGCCCGGGTCACGCCCACGGCCATTTATCAGAATCAGGCACAGTCGCAGGCTCAGTAGGAGTCATCGGTGTCTTAGCCTCAGATGTTGCCTTTATTAAAGGTTACTTTTCTCCTAAGCACTGGGAGAAATAAAGAAACAACTAAAAAAATTACAAAGTAAAAAGGAAACTTTTAAATATTAAAAGAATTTTTATTTGGGAAATTGCTTAGATTTGTTTTTAAAGTTTTACAAAGTTACTTAAGCTAAATATTTCTGAATATTTTAAACACATATCAGTATAATTTTTATCTCTGTGTATTTATACACATTTTTGTTTCGCTGCGACCCAGCCAAACGTGAGCTTATGGTTTATGGCGACTTAATAAGGCTGTGACCAGCCATCAGCCAGCCTGTTGCCCGGTGCCCGTTGCCCGTTGCCCTTCTGGCCGCGATTGCAGCCCTGTCGGCATCTCTCCGGCTAATGGCCAAATGGCGAATGGCCCGGCACATTAGGCACAGTTGGACCAGGAGCCAAAGCTATAGCTTCTCCTGATACTATAAGGGAAGCCTAGGAAGCTGTGGAAGCTCAGGGATGCCGCATGATAAACAACCGAAGCGTTTTAAACGGCTTCATTAATCTTATTCAGCTCTGCGCTGCGCTTGTCTATTAAAGCCTTGTAATGCCTGAAAGACTCTCCAGCTCCGGCTCCATCTCCATCTCGCCTGCTTACCGCCGCTGTTGCTGTTTCTGCTGCTGCTGATGATGAGCAGCTGTGGCAACCGCAATCAGCAGGCTGAGGCTGAAAATCTACTACCTGTCAGCTTCATGTCATTCCGGCATTTTATGAGCTGTTGCTAGAGCGGGAGCTGGAGTTGGAGCTGCAGATGTAGATGGAGTTGGAGCTGGCATAGGAGCGGGGATGCTGGGTGCTGCCTTCAAATAGAAATGGCATTGACATTGCCGGAGATAGAGGGCCCCAGAGCAAGGCTGTGGTGTAACTGTTAGTGCTCACTGCTCACTGCTGCTTACTGGCTACGAGTTACTGGTTACTGTCACCGCCAGCTGTTGCAGCTGTGGGTTTCCACTGACTTTCCTTGGGACTCGGGAAAATTCTAGCGTGATGTGTTAAGCAATAACTCGCCTTTCTCACAGAAGCTGCAAATTCAATTGGGAGAAGGGAAGGCGAAGCATAAGACACTTACAAGATTAGATTTATATAAGATACTTGAGAACTTAATTTATATAAAACAGCTAGAGTTGTCATAAAAGCATTATAAATACAAAGTATTTCCTTTTTAAGTGACTCTAAACCCAGTATTACCTGAGTGTAAATCTCTTTTTTTCCTGGCCTATTAAGACCGCTGTTCGCCACGAACTCTTTACTTTCTTGTCCAAAGGCTTGTCACGTTTGGCCTGCCGACTGCAAGTGGCCAATATCCGCGCTTCATCTTTGCCGAGACGCCGCCATCATCATCATCATCATCCTCGTAGTCGTCGTCTCCGTGGTCGTCATCATGATCATCGGCCTAAACATGACAATTTTCATGGGCTTATCATTTCATAATGAATTTGTTTTGTCAGCCAATAAATTATGGGCAACACGCCGCTGGTCTACCTACAAGGCCCAGGCCCAAGCCGCAGAACAGGCCCTAGTCTGGAAACAACTACATCATAATCATCTAAGCAGCATCGCAGAAAAAAACGCTGTCCTCAGATCCAGACTCCGACTGGGACTACGTCTCCGATGGCTGGGCTTTATCGTGAGACCCGTTGATTTAGTGGCCCGCAGTTTGTTTAGTTATTAGCTCTTGCCCTTTTTGGCCCAGAACAAATTGCATTTTGATTTATACAGCCGGAATGGGTTTATCTACACGCGACAGGAAACGAGCGCGTCAGGCCCCAGCCGCCCACATCAAAGGGCGGGCTGGGACGTGAGGAGGCTGGAAAATCGAAGGGAAAATCAGCCAGTCACTGCTACTCCAGCCCACTCACATACCACATCAAAGGGCATTAAAATTTCCAAATAGGTAATTAAGTAAAACGCATAAACCGCACAACAAGAAGAGTGCCGGTTCAGCCAGTCGATTATTTACACTCGAGGTGAAACACAACAGCGTCAGAGTAGCATCCCGAGGAGAATCCAGCGTCCACATAGGTTGAGAAGTATTCAGATTTCAGTGTGTCAATCAATTTGCCTTCATTTGGCTTCGCTTTTGCGTTTCCGTGTTCAAGTGCAGCGCACACGGCAAAGTGTATTAAATAAACCGCAAAACGAACGCTTAACACCTGCACGGGGAGAAAAAATCGGTGTATAAAATGGTAATTAATTAAAAAGATATTTTAAGTAAAGTATATGAGGTTTTTTAGTGGAAAAGTTAGTTGATCTATAAAGTTATTTCTTCTTAACTTTGTAAATAAGCAAAAGCCTACAACTCTTTCCGTAAGATTTGTATCCTAGAGACTCTTAAAATTATGTAAAAATTCCAAGGAATATATAACAAAAATCTTTAAATTTTCCACTCAATTTATAATATTTTTAAAAGTGTTTATTGGAAAACCGGAAAAGGGTAGATTGATGGCAATACGGAAGGGCCAAAACAACTTGAGAGCCGCAAATAACCGGCAGCACACGGCATACAAATTGTAATTGAGTCGTAGTCGCAATAGCAGACAGAGGGAGGCAACCACGAATCGGAGTCGTAGGGGGGATTCGGAAAGCATAAACCAGGAACTAGGAACCAGTAACCCGAAATCCCCAGGCCCCAGATCCGGTGGCTGGCTCATTATGCCACAGAGAGGGGGATAAAGAGACTGCAGAGCCGTTGAACCGCAACACTAGAGCGCGCGGCGAATACCGAAAAACCAAACCAAAACGAACCTAGAGACCCAGCCGACTGTAAATATTTGGCCATCCTTCGGCACTTGCTCCACTTTTCCCATTTGCAGCAATTAAATACATTAACGAGGGACACTTTTTTAGGGCCTAAATGCCGCCGTCTGCTGACCCCGTTTCCCCAGGGTCCTGGTGAACTTTTGCGGCATGAGACTCTGAACGATGTTGACCACGTTTTCCCTCTTTGCCACTCTTTGCAGTTGGTGTCGCGTTTCGCTGTTGTCAATTTGTTGATTAAATTTATATCGCAGAATGCCATAAATGGATCACTTTTATGATGGCTTCACTCCAGCTGTCTGGAGGGGATCTTATCGACTGTCATCAATCTGATGCAATTGCACCACCCCTCGCGGCCTTGTTTATATATTATTTCGACAACTGACATGTGCCCAATTAAAAACTATACCTAAGTCTACCTATAAACTGGGTGATTCACAGGGGTCTGTTTTCTGAATGGAAGAAATAAATCAAAGGAAAGGCTGGTGGGGGAAACCCAAAAAGAACTGGGTTTGATTTAAGTTAAAGAGTTATTTGAATACTACACATATTTAGAAGTTGTAACCTAGCCTGTTCTCCCTACCTAATTCTTTAATTTACACTAAAAAACCATTAACATTATTTAAATCCTTACATGGCATGCACTTGATTGCTGCTTAAATCAGTGCATTATCGGGTTTCTTAGGCTTAATCTAATCGGATCGCCTAATTGCGGCAATTATGTGAACGAGCTGCGGCGGCCAACTCGTTTTTCACTTTATTAATTATGCAAATTGATTCGACATTTCTGACCCGCATTTAGCTTTTGTATTGCTTGGTTCACTGAACTTGCCCCTTTCTCTGATTCTCTTCGCGCTGAGATTCTTTCGAGAACAAGAGAAATGGGTCACTCGAACGAAATGAAACCTGTTGTTGAAATACTCGCTGAGTATTTAAATAATTTTCTTATTAATGTGCAAATGAGCTTTGCCATTTGACACTTTTGATTTGACCAAGAACAGATTTTATGGGTAGACATAAATGTGTGCTAATGGCTCTGAGGGGAGAAGACTCACCAACTCCAACTCCAACTCCATCTCCTCCTCTCCCTTTCCCTAAGGTTGTCATAAATTTTATGGCTTGACCCAGTGCCTGAAAAGACGCTGATATGACAGCGAGCCCTTTTGCTGTGGGCCATAAATACGAGTGTTTTGGCCCTTAAATGCATGTCGAACTCAATGCAAAACCAAGTGTCAGCCATAAACCATTTACATTAAAAAGGGCTTAGGGGAAGAGGAAGTGGTAGTGGGGCTTCAAGACCAATTAAAAAAGGAGCGGCTAATTAGAGTCATAACTTGTGTGAGGCATACGCATAGTTACCATGTTTTTTTTTTTGTTAAGGAGTTTTTAAGCAGCGAAAGGTGGCAGCAGGTGGCTTATAGCAAAAGAGAGTGGGAGACGCAGTCCCTCAAATAAGTAAATTGGCTTTACCCCGGCCACAAGGCCTTTACTGGGATGCGGCAACTTTGCCTGATTGCCTCGTGGCCTGGGGACTCTCCTGGGCGCCACCTTCGTGTACTTCTCCGACTTCTCCTCCTGGTACTACTCCCTACTCTGATCCCTCTCCTCGAGCTGTTCTATTGCTGCTATTCCTGCTACTTTTACAGCTCAGCTGACAATGTTGCCAATGTTGTACGGTAATTTTACATAAAAGCACATAAAGTGCAATGTTTGATCGTAAAACTTTTTTACGACATTTTTCCTGTGCGCATATATAAAAATGGTAACCAAACCGAGAGGCAGATGAGCCAGCTGACTCCTCGGTGGGTATTTTCCTTTATCTGTTCAGTGGAAGGCGCTTATATTATATTCCCTTTGCCCGCTTCCGGCTTTCCTTTGGCTCATATAAAATTTGTAACACGTGTGTCGCAAGGTGGCCATATATAGAGTAGGAGTAGGTATATAGCTCTGTGGCATTTCTATTTCGGTGCGTAGGAAAATTTATGTTGGCCCGGTTTATTGTTTGGCAGCAAGTGAAACACTTTGGAGAATTGCCAGAGACCAGTATATATACATACATATATATCGGAGGGGCGGAGTAATGCCGGTAATTTGCCGGGTTGCCTGGCCCCCATAACTGCGATTGCAGTTGCAGCTTCCGTTACCTTGAGCTGCCGCTGCAGTTTCTGTGGCTTCAGCCACATTTAAGCACTCATAAAGTTAATGACATGCACAGAACACTCACCCCCATCATCAAGCTGGCATTACTATACTTACCCATCTCGTGGCTCGGATTGCATTGTATCTCGGAGCCATGCAAATGCAACATCAGCTGTCTCCCACTACCACTCCCGCTCTGTGGGAGTCATTAAAAATAAAGCAATTTTCACGCATGTGCCAGACCGAATAGAAAATAAAATGCATTTTCCGCAACATGACGAATGGCTTGATTCTATTTTACAGTTTCGCTGAAGCAGAGTGCAGCCTCCATTAAAGAAAGCAAAGCGAAAAACAAGAAAGAGTATTTTTCTCCTTTAGTTACTATATAATATATATATTTTTTCCTTTTTTTCTATAAAAGAGAGGGGGTGTGAGGCTGGTAGGAATGCAGCGACAGGAATGATGACGTTACCTTTGCAACAGCTTCAGCCTCGGGCAACAACCACACGAACCATGATAGCCAAAGGCGGCAGGGCATACCCTGGAATCGGTTAGGGTATGTTGGAGTATGTTGGAGCTGTAAGGGATTTCCTTAATCAAGTGCTTATATATACCAAGAGCCTAGTCTGCTGGGTAAGCTGAAACATGCCTCAGCCTTTGGCTTGCGGCAGTCGCTCAGTCACAGCAACGCCCCCTCACAGTGAGCCAGTCAAGTTGTCCTACAGACGGGATGCGGTACAAGCATTCAGCCACAGATACACCTCAAGAAAAAGGGATAATAACACTTGAAAAATATATAAAGAACATGACAAAAAGTAGAATCCCGAAGGAAACTGGGCTAGTCCATTTTATTAGCTTATATTTTATGATTCTTCTTGCGAGGGCCAAAGCTTAAATTTATTATTAAAAAATATTCCCCAAATACTTCTTTTTATTATAAATAAATTATTTTCAAGTTTTTTTCTATATCTGCATAATCGATATTCTTTCAAGTGCATTCCTTTGCCTCCAGCTTGAACCCTAGTCCCTAGTCCAAGTTTAACTGCAACGGCGACTGCGGCTGTGGCGCACTTTAAGCGAATTTCATTTGTCTGCAGCGTCAAGCACTTGACAATCACTCACGTAGCCGTGCAGCTTCCTGCCGCCCCTACCTCGGCACCCTTTTGAGGGAACCCCTCTCGCTCCCTTGACGCTTGTCTGGGCTGGAGACCCGGTCTGGGGCTGGGTCTCGTTCTGGCTTGCTCTCCTGGTCTGGCTCGTTGGCTGGTTGGATGGCTGGCTGGTTGGTGTTAACAAGTTCCCATGCAACCGCTTAAATATTAACGCACACACCAGCACACGCTGATTCATTTGAGGCAGCTGTCGTTGTCGGCAACTGTAAATAAATACTCATACAGCACACGGCGCAAAAATCTTGTGTGTCATTGCACTCGACGGTTGTCGTAGCTGGGATACCAACAAGGATTCAGCGAAAAAATAAATATATATATACAGAAAGGAACGTTATAGAGAAGGCAAGGCCTAGCCTAGGATATACCTAGTAATTGAACGTCAGAGTTTGTCCAGCTTAAAATATAATGTTTTTACTATTCCATCCAGGAACTCAGCTCGAAGGACCAAATGCCATGCTCTAGGGTACGATAAACAACATAAAAATATATTAAAAATTCGTTTAGAAAGACAGATTTTACAGAGAAGAGCTTAAGTAATCTATAACCACCCTTCTTGAGCTATCCTGCCGTTAAACCAGCATACCCTAGCTCTCACCAATTGCCAGGTATTAAAACGAAAAAAAAGTGCAAACAGTTGAGAGGCACATACATATGTACGTGACTTTACTCGGGGACAAGACGCAAGCGAAATATTTGCCCGCAAACCGCTACAAATCATTAAAATCATCGAAATGCCAGCGAGGCATAATTAACTGCAACTCAATCAGTCCAAGGAGTCTGGCAGGGGGACAAGGATGCCGGATGCGGAATGCGGCAATGCGGGACGGGAAATGGGAGACGTGAGACGGGGGCAATGTCATACCGGAGCACAAGCGTCAATGCAATTAGAGCCCCGGCTGTCTCGGACAATCCAATGGGTTCTCCAGGCTCATTACGTGCCAAAAATAAGTGAGAAAGAAACGCGCTGCAGCAACAGCAGGCTGTGAATCTGAGTCTGATTGTGGCCCCCGCGTCGTCGAAAGTGGGCGCCAAGACATGCCGTCGACCGTGTTAATTGCTGCAAATGCCTCAAGGTATGCCGGGCCCACGCCCAACGCCCCACCCGACTTTGGCTACTCCAATGTCTTCAGCCGCTGCCACCCCGTATCCTTGCCACCACCTCATATCCACATATGTTATGTGGCAATTGTGTGTGGTGGCTGTAAAATTTATGCCCGCCTGTGGATTGCCAACTTTGCCTGCTTTGTGGCCACGTCCATGACTCTGGCTATAGCTAAGCACAGAGAGAAAAATTAGTAATTGATAATTATCATATATTTGCAGCTCTAATAAATATGAATTAAAAGTCATTTAATCGCTATATAATAATTTAAGGCTTATTAAAGTCACTTTATCCAATTAATCTTTTATATTTAAATGAGAAAGCCTGCACCGTTTTTCTCTCTGCATCGCTAGCCATGCATATTGCTTTGAGGGAATGAGCCGAGCTAGCAAAATTCTTGGAAATTAGCACTGCAGACGAGTAACTCGTGAACAAATATTAAGTAATTTTGCGCACGCATATGTACATACATATCTCAAGAGGAGCATCGAGTGGAGATATATTTTTCCAACTAATTCTGGCCGGGATTATGTCATTGCTCGCTCGCTCGCTGGCTAGCATCTTGGAGAACAGAACCCTTCCCTGTCTGTCAGAGAGCGGAATTTCCCCGAAGTCATGGCATGCACACCTCCTCCATTAAGTCTCCAGTCATTCGGAGTCTGCGAAAAATAAATGCCTTTGCCCTTGGCTTCAATTTTCCAGCTCATTTGAGAGTTATTTACATCTCACTGCCCGCCCCCTAGAACCGAAACCAATAAGCTCCATTTCATAGTCAAATCAACCAACTAAAAAAAGGAGGAGGAAATCACTGCCTCAAAGCCTGGCTTCCACACCCTCAATATCCCCTCCCCAATCTAATGCCAAAAAACCCGGAGCGCCCATTTAATCATCATTAAGGTCTGGCACTCGCCGAGGTTCAGGATTCAGGTTCGCATGCTCTCAGGCTGCTGCTGTCTGAGGCCGGGCAATCCTTCTGATTTCTCAGACTCAGACTCCTCGCTCACCTTTTTCCTTGCCATTTGCACTTTTCGATGCTTTCACGTTTTTCATCATCATTACCAGCAGCAGCTTCTACGCACACAGCGAGTAATAAATAATTTCGTTTAGCCAAAGCCAGTGCCAGAATCATACCAAAAATCCCAAGCAAAGTCCCCTCCAGCTCCAGATGTATGTGCTGAAAGTTTGTTTGCCTTTCGCCTTGGCTCGGTCTTACTTCCGCAAACATAAAACGGCAACGACAGAGCTAGGGAAAAGTGCGGAAAAGCATCGGGACGAAGGGACCCATGATCCATTGAAATATGACAAAATGCTGTTTGAGACATTTTCAGTTATTGATACGCTGCTTGGTCCGTCCATCAGCCAAGAAAAGGAGAAATGAATGCAAGTAGGGAGCGAGTAAGAGTGCGAGATGGGGGGTTTATGATGATGCGTGGCAAAGGAAGGAGAACTGTAAGCCATGAACAGGCAACATTGTGCATGGGTATTGCAGAAATATTATTAATATACCCGGAAAAAGCTAAGGAAAAATAAGTAGCAAGGGTATAAAGGGAAGGACTAGACCAGGGAATACCCAGTCTTCAGATTGAAGAAAACTTGGCAGACTATATGGATACTACTATCAGAGTAAGGAAGGAACTTAACACTTATTTAATCTAGTTTATTTTAAATATATTTAAGAATAAAAGGTTTTACTCTATATTTAAATATGGCTACAACTTAATTTAATTGGTAAGACATTCGTAAGCAGTTGATTTCTTCTAGGAATTTCTTCTGACAAGGGTTACAATTTCAACTGGTTATTTTTTCCCTATAATAACCCTTAAAACGCTTTCAACATACCCTTCACAACAAAATATTGAGGGTATAAAAAAGAAAACGCAGAGGGACGAGCAGGAAAGTAGTAAAATCCCCCGGAAAATTGAAAGCAAAGTTTCGTCTGATAAATAGGCAAAGGCGAGAGAGGCGGGTGTGTTGGCCTTTGCCAAATGCCACACGCACTTTATCACAAATCAAGCCAAGTTTTTCCCCCCATCAGCAGGGGGTGTGGGAGTGTTTGGTGGGCGGAGGTTCTGGCCAAAAGTCACGCCTACCGCCCACCGCCCGCTGCTGCCGCTGTGATAAATTTGATGGGAAAAGAAATTATGAGGGTGTCGCTGCCTGCCTGAAGTCGATGCTGATGTTGATGATGTCCTGTAAACACAGGCTCGGGCATAAAGATATGACGCTATAAATATGCCGGGGCGATAAATTTCCCCAGTGTCATATATAAATGCGGGGAGCGAAGGCGGGAGAAACTGCTCAAAAATCGATCAATGGCATATTTATCATGTGTGCTGCAGGATTTTTGGGTATCCCAAAAACACATATTGCCTTGCGGTTAAACTTGCTCGAACATTTGGGATTAAAGTTTGGTTTTTTTTTCCTCCTTCAGCTATTTGAAAGCCGGTTCAGGGAAAGGTTATGGCTTATTTGAAACTCACATGGCAATTAATCAGTTTATGGCCCACCAAATTGCTTCCCCATTTAAATATACATAACTTCTAGGCGGGGCGCTTAACGAGATGAGCATTAAATTTAAAGAAAATGTTGGAAAATGTTGGAAAATGCCATCGTAAAAGTGCGGCACATAAATGTAAATTGTAATTTCCGCTGTGCCAAAGACCGGGCGGGGGCGTGGCGGCAAGTTGAATGAACTTGTTGGTGCTGCTGCGTGCGTTTGGCTGCAATTAAAATTATTTCCACTGCGTCTCCTCCATTCCCCACAACGTCCATTCATGCCGCCTGTCATTCACATAAATATGCTGCATTTTAATTGATGTTGCTGCGTTGTTGCTGCGATGTTGCTGCTGCTGTTGCGATGCTGCTGCTGCTGCTCACGCTGCCGCTGCTGCGTTGACAGAGTGACCAAGTTAAAGACAGATGTGTGACAGATGCCATTCAAGTTGGCAGCCGACTTTCCATTAATTAGGCATAATATTTCATTAGTGTAATGAGCGCCACTGGGAAATGTGCCAGCCCCTAATGAAAGCACACAAACACTCGGCTAACCATAGGATAGTGTACCATATATCCTATGCAAAACAACTGTCTTGAGGTCTGCGGGGCCATGTGAAATATGTGTGAAAAGCCGGCAAGCCGCTGCACTTGTTGCCAGCTGCTCCTCCTCGGCTGGTGGTGCTGCTGCTGCTGTTGCCTTTCATTAGGCGAGTGCACATTAATTATTTTGCATGTACTCCCCACTATATAGTACTATATAGCACTGTGTGTCGGTTACAAAAGCGTACCTGTGCTCGGTGCTCTTTCTCCGACTTCGTCGGCAAAATTCGTGTGAAGTTACCGAGAGATATCAACGTGAAATACAGCAGACATTGCCGTGGCTTAATTTCGTTTGGGGCTCAAACTAATTTGACGGGATCAACTGTTGAAATGTTAGTCCGAACGGCGTACGGGAGCGCAATCTTAAAATGTTAGTCACTGCTTTAGCGAACGTCACATGCAGTTGTCTATCATACTTAGGGGGGTACTTAGGGAGCCCCTTTATCGGCCGCATTTCTTTTCGGGGGTGCGACTGTCCCCGGTATTTCGTCATGATGACTTAAAACTGGCCCATTAAAGCGTGGCAGGTTAAAGCCTGGCGCTTCCTCCTCCGATACTGCTCAGTACCTCCTCTTCTGGGACCATGTACTATAACTCTAATGACATAATCTGCTTTTGGCCAACACACACACACAAAAACACAAACACTGTGAGAGGCCCTTTAACTAATCCGCTTAAGTGACTTTTGTTGCTGTTGCCCGTAGGTGATTCTTTGCCAGCCGCTGCCATTGCCACTTCCATTTTGCCTTCCCCTTCATGCATATTAAACTTATCGCCGGCAAACAACCGCAATTATAAAATTATAATGATAATGCCCAACTAGGGAGCGGCAACCGCTGACAGTTGGACTGTCATTGCCTCTGATGTTGCTGTTGTGTGGATGTTGATGTTGATGTTGCTGCTGATGTTGCTGTTGCCGCTGATCTGCGTTGCAGATAAACGGCGACGAAGCCAAAAGAGTTATTAAAACAAGGCCTAGTCAGGGAATGAGATACTCCAGCTTTAGCTCCGCTCAAATGCCACAGATAGTTGCATCTCAGTTAGTTACTTTAATACACTTTAAACAAAAATTTTTATTAAATAAATTAAGCAAAGCAAAAAAGGTTTTCATAAAGCAAGTAATATTTAAATTAGAAAACAATTTAAGTAAGGTATTTTCATTATTACATACAGCATAATACAAAATTTATTAAATCCATAAAAAATATATTCTAATTTCTGGAAATTTAAAATAGTTTTTAATATATTTTAAAATAAAGAACAATTCAAGTAATTTCTCAGATTTAATTTTCTTGTGTTAAATTAACAGCTACTTTTTAAATTTTATTAAAAAAATTGTTTCATTATCATATACAACTTAAAAAATACATTTTTCCCAACAAAACTACCAAATAAATTTCTAAAAAACATGAAAAACATATTTTAATTTCTAGAAAATTCTTACCTTCTCCCAGAAATGTACTATAATTTCTTCCCCTGCACTTTCAAACCAGTTGCAGATGCAGTTGCATTCCCACTAATTGCCACAGACGATGATAGCCGCCTAGCACTTGTTAATTACCCGCACATATTAATTGCCACTTTCTATCTTTTTTTTTGCCATTGCAGAAAATGTCAAACGCGGCGTATACTTAATCTTGTCACAGGAGAGAGGGAGAAACGCACGGCAAGCAACATGAACTGCCTTTGTCGCCCATCACGGATAATGTCCGTGCGCATTAATTTGCTGGATGAAACCGAGTTTATACACGAGATCAAGGTGAGTTTTAGCCCTAACCAGCTAAGGTTTTCCAGCGCCAACCCCCTTAGAGTAAACACGGCCAACTCTTTCGTTCATCATCATCGTCAACAGCATTTTGTGGTCTCCGTTGAATGACAAAAAGTGTTGCATACTTTGCACGTGCCTCCAAGTTTTAGGGGTGCACACCCCTTGCCAGGCTGTGTGCCTTCACCCTCATCAATATTTAGTGCAGGGCCTTGTGACTTGGCAAACATGCAAAGTGTCATCATTCACACGTCCATAGCCACAGATGTCTGACGATGTCCCTCTGTTTTCACCGCTTTTCCCTCAGCGTTTCCCCGCTTTTACAGCCATCCATCTCTCGGCTTAAAACTGCTCACGTTTGCCAAATTAAATGGGTCGCCTGAGGCATCCTCGGATCTCGTTGCCGCCCTTTGTCTCCGTCATCCGAGAGCTGGGACATGGGAGCTGAAAGCTGGGAAAAATTGTGCTGATTTTGCACGCCATCTCATAGTTGGCATCATTGTGCGGGCAAATCAAATAAATTGTTGTGATTTTTCTCCACACACACACCCACACTCATACGAGGTCGCGACGGCCTGGTTTCTGGTCTTTGATTTCAGCAAACCTCTGCAAAACTTGTCCAATAAAATCCACATGAAAATGAAACTCGGAGCCAGCATATTTGTATTTGTCTCTCCTCTTTGTCTTTTAATTGAAAAATATTCCGAGGACCGAATCGGGGGCATAAATCAGTTATGAATGGTCTTGGGAAATTTCATTTAAAAGCCATAAAACGCGCCCGATGACATGTTGTATAGTTCCCATGATGAAAACTATATCGATTGTGGATAAATCACATTCATATTTATGGGCAGAAAACAATTGTCAAGGGGAATTATAGGAAAATTAATTTGTCCTTGTCAAAAACAGGAAAATAACTGGGTTTCAGCTCGATGAATTTCAAAGTAATCTGAGTATATTTGTTTGGGCGATAGTTCGAATGTATAGTCAAGATAAAATAGATTCACAAAGTTTTAATATGAATAAACAACCAAAAAACCTATTAAAATTCGCAGCTATTTTTGAACTTCCTTTAAAGGCAACCTTGTGTAGGGTTAGGGCACTATGAATTATGCAGATTAATCTGTAGATGTTCAGCTCCGATAAAGTTCAACTACAACACGATGCCCGATCATATTCAATGCAAATTCATGTCAACTCGCCTGCGATGCCTGTGCGGTCTGCGACATAATTAGCAGTGACTTTAAGGGCCGCCAGTTAATTATGCAGTCGCCCCGAAGTCAAGCCTATATATACTTACTATATATACTTAACATACTATGTAAGTGTAGCCGCAGAGCTGCAAGTGTGTGCGGTAATTGGACCAGTTGAGCGTGAATCGCCCACGGCGACGAGTGGAGCTGCATCTCGGTTCCTGATTGATCGAGCGGCATGAGGATCGGGCATCGGGAAGGGGGCTTTAGCCACGACAACGACGACAGACTAGTTTAGCCATTCCAAGAACTGACTAATGACACTTGCCAGCTCGTGGCATGCGCAAAAATTGGAGCACGTAAAACGCTAATAATCACAGCTCATCAGCGGAGATTTATAATAATTTTACAAGCCAAATCGCCGCGGGCCTCGCACATCGTGCATTAGGAGGCGTGGCCACAATTTGACAATGCCTGGTTTGTGGCCGGGCCTAGTGGCCCCCGGGGGTCACTATTAATGAGCTTAGACTGGTAAGGCGCAGCAGCAACAGCAGAGAGCAAGTACCACTCACTCACTCACTGGCAACTTATCGCTTGTCATTATTGGCCCCGGTCGTCCGGGCGACTCACCTCGTCTTCCGTCGTCCGTCGTCCAACGGCCACATGATTGATAAAAGACTCGCCGACAAATTCCAAAAACCCTGGAAAAAAGCCACGACAAACAACGTCGAAAGCCAGCCCCATGAATGAAAACTCAAAGAGCCGCGCTGCTGCGATGACGACGGTCTGATATGCAAAAATGCCCGAGAGTCGCGGTGGAAAGGAAAAAATGCGTGTGGCCGCCAGCCTCGAAACGTAATTTTATTTACACGGCTTCGGGCAGGCAAGGTGGGAGATGGGGGAGACAGATGAAGGGAGACACTGAGTTTGCCCCAACTGTCTGTCAAATTGCCACCGACGACACCAACGACCAGCAACAACAGCAACCCGGACAGCAATGCCAGGCTGCTGTGTTGATTTTGACGGCTGCCGATGGCACTAAGCGCACGCACTTAAAGCCACCAAACGGCTGCAGTCTGCCATTAGTGACAATCCAAGGGAGAGGGGGAAAGCGTTCAAGGGATCTGCACTGAAAAAAATATTTAATGTTGTACCTGAAGGGTTTCCTTAAAGGCAGTGAAGACCTTTCTTTGTCTTCGATTTTAAGTCGTGTGCCACTGCTGCCAATGCTTAGTAAATAAATAATGAAGTGTAAGGTTAAAACAGTCTTTCCTTAAAAATTTTATATCAATTCTTGCATTTTCAAGACTATATTTAAACATTTTCCCTGTGTATATTAGGAAAGATGAGTGAGATGAGGAGTTCACTTTGCGGTTGACTCGTTTTGCATTTCCACTGGCGCCGAGTTACCCAAACGAACAGTTATATCCGCAACATCAGTCAATGCTGCAATATATCTCACATCTCCCTGAATCTCTCTCTGCCTGTCTGTCTGTATATCTCCTCATCTGGCAAAAGCGGCAGTTGCGTAATCGATATTTCATGGCCATGCCAAGAGCTGTGTTAAACGTTGCGTATGAGTGATTTTTTGGAATGCGTTATCTTGCGGATTATATTTAAGTTGACAAATGAAAAACAAACCCCAAACATGTCCACAAAGTTATGAATGAAATTTTGAGGGACAAATCATTTTTGATGAATTATAATTAGTTTTGATTTTAATTGCTAACATTTTGGAATAATAAAAATACAAAATGCAAATAAAAAGATTTGTCAACATTTATTTAAGAAAATAAAATTATAAAGAACAAACTGAACTAGTTTGAAATTAATTAATCTAGCTCATAATTTACAAATATTTATAAGAACCAGAGTGAAGAACAAAAGAATTAACAAATTTCTGGGAAAAAGAACTCCGCTAATCTGGAACTTACTCAGTCACTCAAAAGCCCTTTGTATGCCGGAGTTTGCCACAAAAATTCCAAGAGGTCTTAAAGTTGGCGAGACAAAAGTTTGAGAAATGGAGTTGAACCCGTCGAAGATTGGGACAAAGCCTCTGGCGCGGCTGTGGCCCTGGAGGCCAGCCAGTCAGCCACTTAAAAGCTGGCAAAACTGTGACAAATGATTTTGACGACTTCATGCCCAGACATGTACCCCTGCAGCCAGATGGGAACGTGTGCACCTCTATATACTATATACATATATATAGACCAAATCTGTGAGTTTGTGGGCCATTTATCACGCTTACCATGCTAATGACATTCGGCCGGGGCGCAGCACCGCAGTAGAAGTCCAAGTCGAGTTGGTAACTTGGCCTGAAGTGCTCCCAAGCAGAGTGGCACTTCTCGCCGTGGTCTTGGCACTTGAGTCTCGGACTGAGTTCGAGGCGGCCAAAATGGTATAAGCCTGTTATTGCTGGATAAGGTTATATAATTATTTCTTAACGGTTAAAGCCGGCTCGGCTATAGCCAAGTGGCCAACTGGCCAAGAGTGTGTGTGGGCTTTGTTTGGCCAGCGCTTGATTCTGTCAATACAGGGTGCCATTTGAGAATTTATGTAAATCATTCCCAGCGCACTTCACACTGGCCACAATGACAGGTCGAAATGGAAAATGGTTAGTTTGAGTGTTTCACGAGCAAACACTTCAGTCCCCCTCCGGACCGACGCGGTATCTGAAATAGCCATAGCCACAACCATTGGCATACGTAATTCCTGGCCAAGTGTATGGGCGAAAAAGTTGGCCAGGCCCCCGGGCGACATTTAATTAGAGTCCCGCTCGTGGTTCGCACGCCGTGCTGGCCCGGCCCGGTCGAAATAAACCTGCAGTTTATGGCCAACATAATTAAGTTAAAAGCTTTTTTACAGTCATTCCATTCCATTTTGACCGAACCGTACCGAAAAACCGGACGCAGCTCGCGCGCTCAAATTGATAATGAAAATGAAAATAAGCAGAGCCCATGAAGCGTGTTTAATGGCTAAATAAATGCCGGCGTCTAGATTTCAGCCACCCACACCTGGGCTTTAGTATCTGGGTATCTGTGATGCTTAAATTCAACGTTAGTTCGTCCAGTTATAGCCGGTAATTCGGGCCATTGTCGAAGGCCATTCTATGGAATTGACCCCTGGAATTTAAATGGTAAAAAAGGTGAATGTTTAATAAAAACAAAGGTAATAGGAAACATTGGATTATAAAAACAAGTTTCAATTTTTTAATAAGAGAATCGACAATCTTATATTTTTATTTCACCTGAAAAAGTATTCTAAAAAATTCTAAAAAATATTTATAATTTAAAATGGGTATTGATCTCAATTTTTATTAAATTTAAATAAAGAAAACAACTTAAAATATATTTTCTATTATCTAATTTAATAGATACTTCCTAAAATTCATTCATTATACATTTTCCCAGTGCACTGAAACCGTAACCGAATTTCAAAATTTACAATACTCTCGCATTCAACCGTATTAAATGACGTAATTAATAAGGGGCAAAAGGTTAGACCCAAAAATCCCCCAAATGTTTTACCTTTTTGGCAAAGTCAGCAAAACAGTTACCCGTCTGTGCCCTTTTCTTTGCTTCCCCTTTTTTTCTTTTTGGTCTGGCGTTTTTTGGGCAGCTGGGGTAATTACTTTATCTGTTGCTGAAGTTGCGCTTCGGTTCATAATAGGATTAACCAAAAGCGCCCCACCGAAAGAAGCTAAAATTTTTGGCTCGAGAGGCGAACAAGCCAAACTGGCCAAGAGCCCGCCCGTTCGTTGGCTTTCGCAGCTGTCAGAACCATAACTCAGTGTCAAGTCGA